AACTTTAAGCCAAAGACCTTGACCCAAACGCGCAAAAACATTAATGCCCAAAGCCCCTTTAGGCCCCACCGGTACCCTGATTCACCCTCCCCCTTTTCGATCTTCAAGGCCTTACCATTACGACTCCCTACAATTGATCATAGTAGTATATGCGGACCCCTAAACCCTAAAACCTAAAACCGAAAAATAGTTCCATAGTAGTAAGACAAAAGCCCGCTAGGTAACTGACCAGGGCTCTGTAGAAACCTCTGCCTGGGTTTCAGAGTTTCCCCAGAAAGCTAACTTCCTGGAAAGCTGTGGGGGTCAGGGTGTAGGTTTTAGATGGTCTAAAGTCATGGTTAGGGCTTGGACTTTAGGTTCCAAGGCTTAGGGTGTAGAGGTTCTAGGAGGTTTAGGGTTTAGGGTTTAGGGGTTTAGGGTTTAGGGTTTAGGGGTTTAGGGTTTAGGGTTTAGGGGTTTAGGGTTTAGGGTTTAGGGGTTTAGGGTTTAGGGGTTTAGGGGTTTAGGGTTTAGGGTTTAGGGGTTTAGGGTTTAGGGTTTAGGGTCTAAGGGGTTCTAGGAGGTTTAGGGGCCAACTGGAAGCCAACACGGCAGAATCAGCTGTATCCTACAAGGCAACCGGCAGAAACAAACCCTGAGCCCTGAACCCTCAACGGGAAGCCCATTAAACCTAAACATCCGGAAGCATTTATCCGAGCCAGTCCCCATAATTAAACCCTACCCCCTAAAACCTAAATCTTAAACCCCTGAACCCGGAACCCTAAAATCCTACAGCCTGGAACCCTTTTGACAAGTAACACCCTCAACCCCAGAGGAGGCAACCAGCAAGGTCCTTGAGTCATCGTGACCTTCCCGGAGGGTTTCGGCTTCTGGCTAAGGAAGAGCTTGGAGGGTCGGGGGACTTAGTAATTGGTTATTTTAGGGACTTATAAGTACCATAACCCCAATTAGGGGTCCTTTTATGGTACTTATAAGTCTACGTACTACCTATACTTACTAAGTCCCCCGATCCTCCAAGAGGGTTCATAGCCTACCGGGTTTCTTCTAAGTTCCTGAGCAGCCGAGGATACCCTTTTTCCTGCTATTCGGTCTTAATCAGGGAAGCCTAGAGTAATGAGGGCAAAAGGGTTCTACTCAGGAAGCTAGTCTTGTGTTAATTGAAACAAAGTGAACCTCCGGGCCTAGAGGGTTTAGGTTTCATGGGCTTAGGGTTTAAAGCTGCTTTGTTGAGAGGGGCGGCTCCTTGTTCCTGAGACTCCAACGTGCCCTAATTACGGAATTGAGCTAAGGGTTCCTTAGAGGGTTCCTTAAAGGGATCCATAAGGGCTCTATAAGGGAAATAAGGAACATATTCTAACTTAAACTACAGTATAGTAGGATCCTTGAAACACATATTCCCTAATTAAGGGATCTTGGAGTCTCTGGGTGTTCCTGACTGTTCCCACTGCGGCCACTGCCGAAAGGCCGGTTGGCTAGGAGAAGCGAGGCTTTACCGCCCAATCCAGATCTTTGATATAGGGGCCTGAAAAATTTAGAGTGGGGTTTGGGGTTATATTATAATAAGAAAACTGTAATTATATTAAGGAACCCCACAACATAGTATAGTATTTATTCAGGCCCGTGAAATAGAGCCTATAGTCTGACGGTTTAGGGTCTCGGGAGAAGTCAGGGATGCGCTGTTCACCACTGTTCTAGAGATTTCGGGAACCCCATATCCCAAGCTACCTGTCCTGACAAAACGGCCTGCTGGTTGAACCCCTTAGCCCAAAACCAAGACGCACAGGAAACAGCTCCAGAGCAAACCTAAACTGCCCCAAAACCCTACCTCAAAAAACTTGCACCAAAATCCGAAACCCTAAACCCTGGACTCACCCATGAAGCCCTCAACCCCAAACCTCTCGACCCTTAGATAGCCCCGAGTTGCAAGAGCAGGGGGTTTAGCAACTAGGTCCCAGGTCCAATAGCCGCCATGGTAGACGGCTTAGGGATTAGGGTTTTGGTGTTTTCTGGTTGTGATGTGAGGTTCAGGTTTTTCCTTTCAGCAAGTTCATATTTGGGATCCTTTCGGGTACTACAAGTAGAATAACCTACTTGTCCAGCATCCTGGGGAACGTTTACTGGGATTCTATAGGGGTTATACGGTTGATGACATAAATCCTGCATTGCCTTAAGGACCCGAAACTATGGGAATTATGGAATATTCCTTACAACGGTAAAGGTTCTCTACTCTACTACTACAATAAACCCGAAGAGGGGACTGAGGAACTACTTTTCCGATGCTACTAAGTCCCCTGATCCTCCAAGCAACGCCCTAAACTCCAAACCACTTGTTGTGAGGGTTTAGGGGCTAGGGCTATGGTGAAACTTACAGAACCCTCATAGAACCCGCATTCGTAACCCTCATAAAGCCCGTGTAGGAACCCCTAAACCGACGATGGAATCCAAAGGCCCCCACTGGGTGCCGGTGGCGCGGGAGGCGGAGGATGACCCGACTTCACCGCCACCATGCCTGTCTTGTCCGCATAATAAACAAGGTCAAACAAACAAACCAAGCAACAAACAAACGAACGAACGGACAAACAAACGAACGAACAAACAAGCAAACACAAACAACAGACACACACACACACATGTGTGTGTGTATGTGTATGCATACACACACAGACATGCATACACACCTACCTACATGGTTACCTATGTGTGTGCGTCTTGGTACTGGTACTTATGACTCGCTCAGGGTCGTTACATTACGACTTATAATCTCCTATCTTTAACCAAAAGTAGGTAATAGAGTAGCCCAGCGCCCACAAAAGACAATTATTCGAGACACTGTTGGGGTCCAGGTAAGGGTTTACGTTTAGCCTTCGGGGTATCGTACAATCCGGTTACAGATTCAAAGCAGAAGCCAAAAGCCTCCATCGTAAACCTTGATGGTTTAGGTTGGGGGTTTCGGGGTGTAGGTTGCAGGGTTTAGGATGATTTCGGCTTTGGGTTTAGGCACCCCAAACCCAATCCCTACCAAACTCCACCTGAGTCCAGTGCTCCTGGCTGAAACACCAAAGTCAACGCAGAATCTAAGGCCAACAAATCGCAACTAACTACTGCCTAGGACTGGGACTCAAAAGAAAAGACATGTCAAACCAACCAACAGCCCTAGACTCAACTCTTATATAGCAGTCCGAATATGAAGTCTGAAGAATAAGCAATAGTATGTCCGTCTAGTCCTGGCATGATTCGACTATCTCGACCGTATACACCAGAAGGCGACTCTTTACCTTTTCTCGATCATATACACGAAGCCCGTGTCCTGAACGAAAAACTACCAACACTTCAAGATTCACTAGGTACTTCACAATGAGGAAACCTCAGTTTTGCTTGGCCTTGATGCCGTGACAGCCGTGTGCCACGCACCAGACGCCGTAAGCTCACCAAACTATGCTTTGGCGGGAAGCTATTTGAGGCTAAATCCTGATGAACCCTAATTCCTGAAGCCTAATAAAGACCAAGTCTTAATTTTCTGGATCCTAGAAACCTGGCGGCAAAAGGGTTGCTTGCTGAATTTGCCTTATATATGTCCTTAAAACGGCAGGTTATTTGGGTTAAGGTGAATTCGAATTCAGTAAACTCTACACCAGAAAGTCCTCTCCGAGTGCTTCGGGCCTTGAAGCGCGTGGCCTTTGGCCTTGCGCAGATTTATGCAGGGGACTTGTAGGTTTATGGAGTCTGGGGTACAGGGCTCAGTGCTTTTGGTTTCGGATTTGGGTTTAAGGTTCTTTATGTTATAGTCCCCAAAACATCTTATTACTATTCTACAAAACGATAGTGACTCTGAGGACAGGTACTCTTATATCAAGGTCGGGGGAGTGGAGGGTTTAGGGGTGTTGGGCTTACCTGAACCCCAAACGTATGTAGAATAGTTGCCTTGTGTAGGTTTGAAAGGTCGAGGCAAGGCTCGGTTTCAAGAGTGGTCTCGGCTGGAAGGCTGCGGGGCTTCGAAGGCGGCGGCTTGAAATTTAGAGACAAGGCTTCACTCATTGATTCACTGTAGTAGCAGCAGCAGCAGCAGCCGCGGCAGCAACAGCAGCAGTAGTAGTAGCAGTGGCGGTGGTAGTGGTAGTGGTAGTGGTCGTAGCCGTAGTAGCACCTCCTCAGCAAGATGGCAGATGAATCATCCCGGCATATGTACATCTGCATATGGAGACAATCGGATAGACGTAATTCATCTTCGTCATGTAGACTCTAGACTCCGACTGAGCCCACCAACATTTCAACCCTTAAATCCTGAACCCCGAAGGCATTGGGCAAATAGAAAACGACATCTCTGAACCATTGAAAGATGTCGAACTGATGCGAGGTTTCTGCAACTTAGGGTCCTTTGTCGAAGGTCTTCTTGCAAGGCGACCAGGAGAAACCCAACGACGCTCAAACCCAAACCCATGGACCTACATCCACAACCCTTGGGAACTTCCTGCCCCCCGCCCCCTCCCCCCTCCACTGTGCTGTGGCTCCATATGTTCCACGGACTCTTCGGGAAGACTTTTGGCAGCCGGCACCCGTAAAGCGAGAGGATGCAACCACATACACAGATAGGTTCTACGGTTGGCCACTTGTACACGGTCAACCATCTGTGTAATCGACCTCACTCAGGGGGCTTGGGGGTTTGAGGTGTTACCCTTAAAGGGACAGCAATCAAACTCGAAAGTCGTACACCAAAACCCACTTTGAAGGCTCGCAGAGCTGGAGCTCTCCTTAGGGGCTGAGAACCCTAGCCAGAAAAAAGTTAACCTTTTCAACTATGCTAGGGTGATATAAACGCAAGAAGGTCAAAGGATACCTACTCTGAAACGCTATTTTAGCAACCGCGCACTTGAGCCAAAAGGTAACGTCAGTGTGAAACGACTGTACATGAGACCCATACCCAAACTATACCCCAAATCCAGTCACGCCTCCCGAGTAGGGATCACGCTTTGCTTTCCCTGCGAGTTCTTTGGGGTATTCCTTCACGCCTTTCCTAAGGCCAGCTCATGCTTTCCAGACCTGACGGTGTAGCCCATTCGACTCAATAGCTTCGTAGCAGTTTGGCCGTCCAAAGGCTTCGTCATGAGGTCTGCCAGCATGTCTTGCGTGTTGACCTTCTTCAGGCGTATTCTTCCTTGATCCACTATTTCTTGCACCCACAGATAGCAGGTGTCAATGTGCTTGACCTTACCCAGCCCTCGTCGCGAGCCGATGGATATGCCCGCGCTGGCATCCATAGCTATGTTGACAGACAGCTTTACACCCCAGTCCGCCATCATTGCTTGCTCGCCCAAAGCGGTTGAGGCTGTTGATATCAAGCCATAGTATTCTGCTTCTCCAGTGGACAGGGCAATCACAGCTTGCCCCTTGGCTGCCGTCTTCACCGTTGCTTCTCCGAGCTGGATCACGGTTCCAGTCGTGCTTTTCCTAGTCTTGATACACCCAGCGTGGTCACTGTCGGACCAAGCATTGATGCTTGTGAAATGCTCTTGATACGGGATCAATTGCACCAGCCTAGGAGATCCTCGGAGATATCTTGCAGCTCTCTTCAAGAGACCCCAATGGTGTTGTTGAGGTTCTTTCAGCCCTTTCGCCAACTCGCGGACGGTCCTAAGCAAGTCCGGCCTGTCCATAGACAGATAACCTATCCGCATAGCGATAGAACGGTACAGAGCTGCTTCAGCAGTACCAAGTGGAGTCTTGTCCATGTCCTCTTCTTTCACCTTGACCAGTGGAGTGATCACAGAAACTCCTTTTTCCAGACCCAGCTGTTCCAGAACTAAGTCCACATGTCTGGGGTCGGCTTCCATCTCGATGCCTTCTTGGGTCCACGTCACTAGGCGATTCAAGACAGAGATTTGATGAATCACGCCTGGCAGCTCCGAACCGGGTCTAGCCAGGATGCCTCTTGTCTCTACTGTCCAAACCTTGCCCAGTTCAGCCTCTAGCCACTTGAGCTCTTTGTAACTTCCAACCACTGTGAAGTCATCTCCATGGACGTTGAGTCGCAAAGATTTCTCCTCGTGGAAGTACAGGCATGGGTTGCTTCTTCCTTGCTTGAAGCCCAAGCCCTCCAGAGCATCCTTGATGGCTTTCTCCCAATTGGAAGGTGCATCCCTGGTCCCATACAAGGAACGCTTCAGAAGTCCAACCTTGTCTCGTCCCTCTCCAGCTTCTGGTGGAAGCTCCACAAGGAGTCTCCGGCGTACAGGGCTCCAAAAGTGAGCTTTCTTCACATCCAGAAACATAAGACAGACTTCGCCTCCAGACCCAACAGGTAACAGCTTTCCCCGAGTGTTGGGTACACGCTGTGTAGTCGCTAAGGAAAATAGCGCCCGAAGAGAACTGAGTGGCGGCATTGCAGCGAAGAAATCGCTCCAAGTGGACTGGTCCTCTGGTTGTTGCGGTCCGCGGGCTCTTTTGAGTTCCTGAGCGACAAGCCTGGATCTCAGTTTGTGACGGGCACCATCCCCCTTGTTGATGTCCACCCATCGCGTACCGATCACCTTCTCGTTTGCAGGACGGGGTATGACTTCCCACACTCCCATCTGCCTGATGACGCTCACTTCCTCTGCCCGGGCTGCTTTAACACCTTCAGCTGGAAGCTCTTTCCCGGTGAGGTCGTCGTAGAAGGTCTCCGCAAGAACCTCTTCCACTAAACCATCAACCAGGTCGCAGGTAGGCTGTTCGACTCCTTCCAGGGATTCAATCCACGCCTTTCGCTCTCCAGCAATAAGCGTCTCAATCATTCCCTCGACGTTTTCAGCCTTGCGCTTAGAGCCTTCTGCTCGGTCCTCTGCAGGCCTCAGCTCGGACCTCTCTTGGTCTCCAGGGTCCTCGCTCTTCCGTTTGCTCGCCGAAGCAGCTTCCGAAGCGGTAACTGCTGGCTTCTTACTCTCTCGCGAAACGGAGACAGGCTCTGCTTTAGAGGGTTTCCTTTTCTCCACTTTCTTTGCTGCTTGCTCTGGTGGCCTGCTAGGTTGGCTGGGCTCGCTCGCCTCTGCACTTCCTGCCTCAGGCCTTTTCTCCTTCTCTGTTGCAGCCTTTCTCTTCTTTTCTTCTGCCTCGTGGACTTTCGTGAAGTACTCGGTTTCGCGCTGAGTCTCTCGCTCTAGGCGGGCTTGGCCCCGAGAGGTGTCCTTCAGCGCCTCTTGGATCCGCTTCCTACACGTCTCGTTGTGGTTGATACCTTGGCGTTCTCTGCCTTCGCGAATGGCGGCACAGGCTTCACAACCCCCAGTATAGCCAAACTGCTCCAGGTCGCTTTGTCGGATGTACATTCTCCGATACGTAGGCAACCGTTCGGCTTCTCCAGGTTTCGGTGGAAGCTCTGCTTGCTCGACCACAGGCTCTATCACGATAGGCTCCGGGAGTCTGTCTGCATCGGCGTCCGTGCTCTTCTCGGGATTAGGCTGCCAGGGAGTTCCTTTCACAGCCCTCAGCATCTCGAGATTGAACTGCTTGTCTGCAGGCTTCCTTCGGATAGACTGCACCACCAGGATACCCGAAGGCGTCCCGATAATCTTCTCCGAACTCGTAAGCCGCAGTCCTAGGTAGACTCCTTCTTGCCATCTGGCATCAAGCTTGCTTTTCGCCCTTCGGCGATAGTCCACGATTTCTCCAAAGCTTGGAAGAGCTACTTGCCAGGTCCGGCCCTTCAGCTTCTGAAACGGAGTCATGCCCTCGCTGTCCTCTTGAGAGAACAAGGTGTGGAGCACCCCTGCGTACTCGATCATCCAAGGGAAGATAACCGAGTCCTTGGGTAGTTCTCCTCCAGCATTTTGCTCCAGGGCATACTTCATCGTGCGCACTTGTCCCTGCACACGTTGCACTGCATTCTCAGCTGTGCCGTTGCTTTGCCCGTGAGAGTCTCCCTTGGGCGACTCTTCCAGAGTCAAGTCCTCTGGAAAACCAGCCTTCACAGCTGCCCCCAATGCCTTGATCGCGTTCTCTTGGTCCGTCTTCAGAACCAAGCGCTTGTACCCCAGCCAGTTCAAATCTCGAAGCACCGCCTTTTCAGGATAGGTCGAACCTACCGTCCCTTTAGTTGGCAGCAGATGCGAGAAGATGGCCTTTGAGGCACGGTCCCTCAAGACAACTGTTGGCAGGCTCTTTCCCGGTACTCCCTTCTCAGAGAAGTACAGGTAGTCAGCTGATACCACAGGCACTGTGGAGTCTCGGCCCTCGTGGTGGTGCGAGTAGGCTCGCCCCCGTCCAGCTACACATGCTGGGCACCACGATCGGTAAGGGATATGTGTCACCTCGTGCTCAGCAACCATTTGAGGCGTGGGCACAGGCGGTGCTCGAAGTGGCTTCGCACGCTGTGCTTCGTCGCCTCCTGGCTGGGCGGATCCCGAAGCGGGCTCCGCCTGGCGTGGCTCACCATCCCCAAACGGTCGGGAGTGGATCGGGAACACCTCCGGCTCCGGAAAAGAGGTTGTAGTACTCAGCTGCGGCGCCTGCCGCCCTTCTTTCTTCTCCTCCTTCCTTCTTTTCCTTCCTCTCCTTTCCTTTAACCAAACCACCTAAACCAACCGGGGTTAGGGTCTCAGACACTCCTACCCTACAGGCACTTTCGGCCTTTTTCCTTCCTACCGCGCCAAAATGGCTCTGTTCTGGGTGAAACGAAACGGCTCTACAGCTACGGCTCCTACCTTCAAGGTCCTTTCCCAACAAGTTTTGCAGCGAAGCGCATCCCTCAGGGATGCTTAGCCCTTCCAGGGCCCTTAAAAAGCTCTTTGTTGGCTTGAAGCCTTTGGTAGCCGGGCTTACGCTGTAGGCAGCAGCCGTGGAGGGTGCGAGTGCACCGGAAGCACACGGAACGACGCGCGAGGGCTCCCGCGCACCGGGAAGACCAAAGAACTCCCATTCGGGAGGTACAGCGTGGCCTCCTTACCTGCAAAGACCAAGGCGTTGCCACGGTCCATCGCACGACCGGTGGAGAGGAGGCAGCGTTGCACAGCTGCCACGTTGAAGATGCATCTGCACCTGGTGGCCTTCCCATCCGAAGACGGGCCACTCAGAAGCAACTCCGTTGTGCCCAGGTTGGGCAGACTCTCCCCGCTCGCCGTGGAAAACTTAAGTGGCGAACTCACCTCCTTCAAGGCTGTGGCCCTCCCTTCCTCGAAGAGCTTCTGGTACACCTTGTCTGGCAGCACGTTGTGGCTTGCACCGCTGTCCAGGATCACCTCCATTGAGGGATGCTTCTGGTTCCGGGAAGGTGCCGAAGCGGCCCCATTCCCAGATAAGGAAAACACGGTTCCAACCCGGCCCTCCAGGCCGCCTTCTCCGTCGGGTGGGTCCTCGGGACCTCTTCGCCCCAGTGGCACATGGTCTGCGTCGGGGTCTTCCTCTTCCACCTCGACCTCCACTTCTTCATCTTCGCCTTCGTCCTCCGAAAGGAGGGGCAGATGCTTCATCCTCTCCTTCTTCTGGAGAAGACTCTTGGCGTAAGCAGCTGCTGCGGCCCTCGTGGCCTTTCCTCGTCGAGAGGTGCAACTCTCACAGTCGCTGTCCAGCAGCTTGCGCTCGGCGGCGACTCCGACCGTCCCCTTTGGGAGCTTCTTCACCAGGGCTCTCCTCAGCCCCTGCCGCTTCGCAAAGCGGTCTGTGCCCTTGTGGGCTTCCACCAGGCGATTCACCTGGCTCCTCCGGATGATCTTCTCCTTGGGCATTCTCTTGGCTTGCGCCTGCAGCGCCCCAGCCAACGCCGCCCCAAGAAGCTTGCTTCGGCCCATCACGGGCCTCCGCCCCGGGCTGTCTTCCGAACCCTGGGCTCCAGATCCTCCTTCTGGGCTCCCGAGACGGAGTCCCACCACTGCCCTTCTTGCCGCTCTCCTTTCCATTCCCCTGCTCCCCGGGCAACTTGCCGTCGTTACGCCACGGCGCCGTCCGGATAGCCTCGGCTACCCTTGCAGAGTGCTTGGGCCTGGCTCGCCTCCGCGGAGGCTCCCCCGCCGGCTCAGCAGGCCGGTCGGTGCCCTTCACTTCCTTCTTGCCCTTTGCAGGTGGTGGCCCAGGCGGCTCCTTGGGCACAGGCTTTGCCTTGGGCTTAGCCTTTGGCTTGGCTGCGGCCTTGGCCCTTGCGGTTCCCGAAACGGGTCCCGCACTGCCGCTCTCTTTCCTTTTCTTCCTGGCCGCCTCCCTGCGGCGCTTGCCAGCACGTTCCCCAGGAGTCTTAGGCTTTTCTCGCCAAGCCCTAACGTGCTCCTCCGGAACGTCGTCCCCAGCACCTTCTTGGCGAAGGTTTTCCCTAGCTCGCTTGCTCAAGGGTCTTGCCTCTCGATCGGTGTTCTCCGGCATCAGCGGGTAGGATGCCTTCTTGCCGTCGTCTTTCTTAAGCGGCTTGTTGTACCTCTTCTGCCACTCCTCGTCCAGCGCAACCCTTTCGCGAGCCCTCCCTTCGCGGGAGGCTTGCCTGTGCTTCGCCGCTCGCTGGCGGCTAAGCTCCTTCCTCTTGGCCAGCTTGGCCTTGCGTCCCGAGCGGACGTCAGCCAAGAAGCGTGCCGACGACTTCCAACTCCCAGCGGTAGCCGTCCTGGCAGCCCTCCTCTTAGCCACAAGCTCCTTCAGCTGCCGGGTGACTTCCTCGAGCTGGGCTTCTAGGTTGGCCCTTTCCTCGTCACCTTCGGCACTAGCCAGGGCCCTGTTGAGCTCGGCCTGGCGAGCCTGCAGCTCGGACACCAGGTTGCCCTCGAGGAGCCGCAGCCCAACCCCCGTCATGGAGGAAGTGCCGCCAGCTGCCTTGGCTTTGGCACTTGCTCGTGCCCTGCCCCCTTCTGGCGGGTCTCGAGACGATCCCGCGCCAGAAGCACTGGGGTCGGAACGCCAGGTTCCCCAGTCTTCGTCGTCGCCCTCTGGGCTCTTCCTTTTCTTTTCTTCTTTTTCCTTCTTCTTTTCTTTCTTTTCCTTTGTTTCCGGCTTCTTTGGCGTCTCGTCTCCCCTTCCCGGGTCCTCTCCTTCGCCTTCGAGCATTCCTATGAAGCCCACCTCGGCTTCGTAGTCCTCCTCCTGCTCAGGCTCCTCGCCGTCTGGCTCTTCTTCTTCGCCGTCTAGCTCGCGGGCGTGTCCGCCCTTGCCTTTCCCGCCGCGGCCCCTACCTTGAGCCTTACCCTTCGGCGGTTTCCCTGCACTACCTCTACCTCCTGGGGTGGGGTCTTTGGGGTAACCACTAGAACCACCTCCTGTATCCTTGTTCTTCCTTATGTCTATCGGGCTCCTGCAGTCCTTTACGAGATGGCCCACTTTGCCACACTTGTGGCACTTACGGGTCTCCTTGTCCTTTCCTTTTCCCTTCCCCTTCCCCTTGGCGTAGTCGATATCCATAGGCATTGCGCCGGAGTCATCCACAGTGAATGCCCGGCGGTTCTCGGCGAAAGTCACGATTTCCCTCCGTAGAAGGTCGTACGAGTTGAGCCGTGGAAGGTTGAGCTCCAGGTGTGACTGCAACTCCGCGGGAACCATTCCCAACAACGAAACCATCTTCTGGCGCTCGGTCAGCGCCGTGCAGTCCCGACGGGCAGCATACCTCCGATGCTGGTCCTCCCATCTCTCCACTGCAGCGATCAAGTCGCTCACTTCTGCAACTGGCTTCGTCGACATGAGCTGCCGCAACCACCTAAAGCTCGTGACCATGTCGGTCGGATCCAATCTCCCATGGAGCCGCCGGTACATGTCCAGTCCGGATCCTGCGCTCGAGTTCATTGTGATATCCCCTGGGGTGTCCATAGTCAAAGTACCCAGGACTACCTCCAGTTGTCGATTGAACTCCTGGACCTTTTCCGGAGTCACTCCATCCACCAGCTGTTCTCTCAGCCTGGTAACGGCGATTTCATCATCTTGGGTCCGAGCCCAAGTCAGGATTGCCCGGGTTTCTGGAAACTGGCTCGTGAGCCAAAGCTCCAGCCGGTAGTTCCACTGGCGCCATGCACGCGAGGCTTCCTCCAGTGTTCCTCCCAATTTCTCAGGTCGGCCAATAGCCTTTGTATCCACCACGGTTCCGCGTGGCCTCTGGTTCTGCTCTAGCAGTCTCTGGAGTTGTCCCATCTGCTCCTGCTGCGTCTGCAGCAGCCTCATCAGGAGCTGCTCTCCTGTTTGCCCTTCTCCCGCCATTGCCTCTCTTTCCTAGGCAAGTCCCGAACCGGGCCTTACCTTCCAAAGAGCCGCGTGCGTCGCCGTACGACGCCGCCCAGGATTCTCGAGATCCTATCCAGCAATCCCCGCGGGAAGTCCTGAAGCCTAAGCCCCAGATTGTGGAACAACCTCTGGTACTTTCGTACCTTCCGAAACTTGGCTAGCAGCCGAACCCAGTTCCTCTGTGCGCGCTCTGGATCGTGTATCCACCTTCTCCCCTCACGAGGTCGTGCCCTTCTACCACAAGCGGCACGCAAGAGAAGTGTAAGCACCATCAACCAGGTGCTCCGCTACCATGAAACGCTATTTTAGCAACCGCGCACTTGAGCCAAAAGGTAACGTCAGTGTGAAACGACTGTACATGAGACCCATACCCAAACTATACCCCAAATCCAGTCATACTCCATACTCCTTAAACCCCAAACCCCAAAGGTTAACGAAAGGTTACCTACTCCCTAAACACCAAACCCTAACCCCCAAAAGGTTCAAGGTTACCTACTCAGCTACTGAGACTCACCATTCGCCTGCGCAGCTGGAGTACCTTGGGCTTGCCTGCAGCGGTCCGTACAGTTTAAGGTATATGGTAAGTACCGATGTAGGACACAGCAAGATTTCCATTTTACGAACGCCGTTACGGCTTGTATACGTAGCCCTCATCTTGGTACTCAGGACTTTCTGGGTCTAGTGACCACTTTGAGATCCAGGTTATGAGACATTTTCAGGTGACGATTGTAGCTTTCATTATGTTTCTTGTTGTTCTGTACTCGGGTCAAGAAGGCAGCAGTTGCTGAATCATGCAGAACCAAACCACACCGAGCAACAAAAACCTTTGCAGAGTCAGCCAACTAAAACCCCCGAACTAGGCAAAAACAATGGCCAAACACCTACAGAAGGGTTTTGTGTGTATACATACTTGTGGGAATCAGCCCTAAACCCTACAATATGAAACCCTTGAGAAAGCTCGGGTCTAGGTTGGAGGGCAAACCTCTCCTCAAAGAGGCCAGTGTGACCGACAAGCGGCTTAGGGTTTAGGATTACCTATACCCTATAGGGTGCATGGGTTAGGGTCCAAGTTTACAGGTTTAGCGTTGTAGGGTTTCGGATTACCAAAACCCTGGCAAATAGGGTGCATGGGTCCGAGTTTACCGGTTTATCGCGCGTTAGGGTTTAGGTACTTAGAGAATCATGGGACTTAGTAACTAGGGTTATAAGTAAGGTAACTATACTATACTTCTAACCCCAATTAAGGAACTGATTACCTAACTTACTAAGTCCCATGATCCTCTAAGTACCCCCCAAACCCTTATAGAATCCTTATAGTAACCCTTCTAGATCCCTTACAGGAGCCCTTTAAGGAACCCTAGGCCTTACTTGCTAAGTCCCATGCTCCTTTAAGGAGGGTTGAAGTGCTTACGAATGCGTGTATACCACCCAGTATGGAGCCCCAACAGACCCCTAAACCCTAAACCCTAAACCGTTATGGTTTTGGGGACCTTCCAGGGGGTCCATAGGGCTTTGGGGATCAAGACTCTTTATAAGGTCTGCAGAGTTTGGGGCTTGCTAGTTCCATAGTCGTACGTAGTAGAAATGGACTTTCTCAGTTCATGAATTAAGAATACTTGGGTTTAGGGTTCAGGGCTAGTAGGGCTAGGGTTTAGGGCTTGCTCCAGCAGTTTAGGGGTACCAAAACCTTTGGGATTACAATCTAAGTGCCCCGAAGGTTACCTACCGTACTACGAAAAGGATTTCGGGGTCCTGGCCCAACATCATGAAAAGGCGATTATTCTGCACACTTTCGGGGCCCATGTAGTCTCAAAAAGCCTGAGGGATCCTTCATGTGAGTTCAGTTATGTATTTTTGGGGGCCTAGATAATTGGAATAGGGTGTTGGGGCCTACAAACCTTATAAAGGGAACTCCAGAAAGTTGGAATATGGTTTCAGGGTAGGATACCTTATAATTTACCATAAAGGGTTTAGGATAATTATATTCCAACTTTCTGGCTTTTACTTTAAAGAATCTTGATCCCCAAAGCCCTATGGCCCCCCTGGAAGATGCAACACTTTAGGGTTCTCGAACCCAACGTGGGAAGCCGAGCCCATGCTTCGACGTTCTTCCACTGGATTATTTAAGAATTTCCCCTAAGGCTCCAAGTGCCCACATAGCAGGTACTTAGACCTTTAAGTACCTATTTAGGTACCTACTATACGGGCACGTGGAGCGTTTGGCTTCGTACTAAACGCTTCAGGTATAAGACCGAAATCAACACAGAAATGCAAAAAGCCCCGGCCTACGGTGTATGGCTCAGGAAATCTATACTGCCCTTCCACAGCCCTACAGCCCGAAATCCTTACCTACGGTAGAGTGGCTACCGGCATGTACATGCAAGAAACAATATGTACATGTACGGCTTCTTTGCGGTACCTTCCCCTGAAAACCTTGCGGGCGTGAGGCATTGCGGGATAGCCAGGCATGCCCATTCCACATCCGGGCCTCTTGAACTGTGGAGTCTAGGGCTTAGGGCGTCTACTTGGAGGATCATTGGACTTAGTACGTAAGCTTGTGGGTACCTTAATTCGGGTTATATGTAGTTGTACGTATAGTTACACTACGTGTAACTATAGTTGCTAAGTCCGATGATCCTCTGAGCACGGTGTGAGGGGTCATCGTTTAGGGACCTCCCTAGGCTTGGAGATTCAAGGTCCAGGTGGAAGAAGTTGATTTCTTCGGGTTTAGGGCTTTGGTTTAGGAAACCCTAGACCCTAAACCAATTTCAAAGGCTCAACAGTCTATCGCGCTTGGATTCGGGGCGAGGGGGGGGGGCTGAGTCTGAGAGCTTAAGGATCCAAAGTTGATAATGTTAGGGCCCCCAAAAGCACATAAGCAAAACTTATGATAGGGATATCCCATATACACCCCCTTATAATTTAGCCGATGAGGTAGGGATATCCATATAAAATGCTTATGCTTATGTGCTTCTTGGGTCCCTAAAATGTTGGTGGCAGCCATGTAATTACGCGGTGTGGGGTTCGTTTGCAAGCATGTCGGACCTTATGCCCTGCAGAGGCAAGCTCACCCTAGCCGGTACGACGGAAAGCTTATTATAGGTTCCACTCTAGTGGCCTCAGTTCCCGCTGTATCCAGGCCTTCGGAAACCGGCTCAGGCAAAAGAGAAATGGCACAACCCCTCACTTCCACGGTCACTTCTAGTGCCAGAGCGGCTTCTCCGCGCGCACTCCCTAAACCCACGGAAGTAGGTAAACTAATTGCCCAACACCGAACACAGGCTATTGTTCTCCATACGCTGGGGGTACAAGTGAAGTAGATATCTTTCCATGCTTCCACCAAAAGCCCTAAGAATCCAACTACCTTAGTATCATTTATACTCCAAACGAGTAACCTACATAGCTACTACTCTCAACCTTAACCGCCTAGTTTTTTAGATGCTTTGGACCCTTGGGAAAGAGAACGAACCAACAAGGGAGTATTGAGAGATCCTTCGAAACGCCCGGAGGTCAGTCTGGAAGAACGGTTTAGACAAACAACGTGAATGCAGTTTTATAGAGTTTAGGATTTAGAATTTAGAGCCCGTTCAGGTCTAGTTTCGATATTTTTTTTTTGTTCGCATTTAGGGTGCCTTCTATACGGCATTGTGGTTTAGGATTAAGGGTGGCTTTAGGAACTTTAGGGTTTAGTGCCCTACACCCGAAACAGTTTAGGGCTCAAGACTGAAAGCTCCAACAGCTCTGTAAGGGCTCCACATTCCCATGCCACCGCCCATGCCCATCATGCCCATGTTCCTGGCAAGGCCGGACAAGCAGGATCTAAGGTAGCTTTAGGGCTGGAAGATGTTAGCCTGCTTCTTCTACTCCTCATCCTCTTGCTCGTCTTCGCGACCGTGATGGTCGCGTCCTCGTCGTCGTCCTCCTCCTCCCCCTCTTCCGCCTCCTTCTCCGTGCTAGTAATAGCACAAACAGTAGTCGTCGCTGTCAAACCGGCGACAGTAGCAGCAACAGAGCAGCATGAACGCTGTAATTTCAAGTCAACTGAACAGTAGCTGTTGTTCAAATTTTGCCCAAGCAAACACCAATCTTAGTGTTCTTAGGGTTCCATATCATAATCGTGGTATAAAGTACCCCATACCCCTCTCTTCATAATGCTAGTAGCTGAGGCGGAGCCTTATCAGTATGTGGTCCTTAAAGCATGGCAGAGGAGGGCTCGTAATCGGACGGAAATTAAGAGGTGTCTACATCCCCTAAGGCTCCATGTACCCTTATGGTATATACTTAGGCCTTAAAGTACCTATATAGGGACCCCTATAAGGCTTGAGTATGTACTATAAGGGTACATGGAGCCTTTGGGATCACTACTTTGCTTCAGCGTTGGCATCGCGGATCCCGGTTCCCTCGTCCCCAGGTCTAGGGCTCTGGTCAGGCGTTCGGGGTGTACCCTATGGGTCCAAAGGACCCAAAAATTAGGTACTTAGGTTTCGGATAGTAGTTATGTAGCTTAGTATTTGGGAGAGTATATGATTATTTGGTGCTTGGACCCTCAGGGGTAGGGTTAGGCAGTTGTGGTTCGTTTGCGTGGCTTGGGAAGCTAAAGCCCAAAGGCTCCATGTACCCTTATAGTACATACTCAAGCCTTATAGGGGTCCCTATGTAGGTACTTTAAGGCCTAAGTATATACTATAAGGGTACATGGAGCCTTAGGGTAAAGGTCAAATGGTAGATCCTGCGCTCCGAACTTGGACGGGCAGAGCCCGACATAACCCAAATGCGAAGGGATCAGGGTTTCGGGTTTAGTCTAACATTTAGGGAACCCAGGAACCAGGATACCCCCAATGGAGCGAAGGGATCAGGGTGTTAAGGGTAACTAGGCCTAAGAGTAACCTAGGAATGAAAAGGGTGCCCTTTTTGGTTTGAAGGGGCTTATAAGAGAACCTGAACCCTAAAAAAGGGAATAAGGGCTTAATCTGGGT